CACATGACCCACTTGTTTTACGAAGGGACAGAGAGGGTAATGAAGGAAGGGTAAGGTGTGATTTTAAGTATGGCGCACTCACACATAACTGCACACTCGCTCTTATGTTAGGCAAAGAATTAACGCTGTCATTTTTAGCAACGTTATCAAAAAGCTTTTCTAGTTGAACGTCCAATGATTTAAGTCTGAATAACGTGTTTAACGTCCCAAAGCCACCATAATCAAAGCGCCATATGATTATGAGAGACGTCGTCGTGGAGGGCTCCGGAAATTTTGGCCCCGTGGAGTACTTAACATGTATACCTAAATCTATGTACACGGACCTCAACCATTTTCGCTTCAATTAAAAATGCAACGGCCGTTGCCAGGATTTGACCCCGCAACCTCCAGGTTAGCCGATTAAGTCGGGAGTTACTGCTGATTTGAAACATCAAATGCCAAACAGATGCCTGTATTTTCTATTTGGTACATCATTTTTTTGCCAGTGCTGCCAGGCACTGGCGCTGAAGCCTTATTATGCTTTGGCAGGCCTGGGATGTGTACTACTTTCTTGCGAAATGAGTGATACACTATTATTATTATTATTATTATTATTATTATTATTATTATTATTATTATTATTATTATTATTATTATTATTATTATTATTATTATTATTATTATTATTATTATTATTAACCATAAAGATCATGTGGGAGCCTGTAAATATTTCCTTGTCTTTTTTAAACCAAATCTAAAGCGAAAGTTGTTGACAGTGTATGTGGAATAACACATACACTGTCAACAACAAAAAAAATGCTAAAGGCTGAATCTGATTCTGCTGTAACATGAACTACTCACAATAATATAAATGCTCAGTTCTGGTGCTTTTTGCGTTTGGATGCAAATCTTATGTGTAATTTGTCTTTGGATTTCTTTATTTGGCACTGCTAGCGTCACTATCATGGCTTCGGTAAGAATTGGTGAAGTAGCTGCTTGTGAATAAAGATTCCACGAAAAAAAAAAGCTGTGACAAAATTGAAATAAATACACCTCGGTACCGCGAAACAACGCAAGCAAGGGTGTAAAAGTATGAATAGCGTAGTTGTTCTTGGGAATGCATTAAAAGTATGTTTTAATACAGCTACCTTAAAGCAATTGTTTTGCTTTTGGTATCGATGGTGTGGCTTCGCGGTGAAGTGGGAACATGCCTCACGTCACGGAAAGACAGCAACTCAAGGCACGCTATTAACAGCTCTCAGTTTGCTGTCATTCGCACGTAGTTTACATTAACAGCAACGATTGATTTGTCGTCAAGAGCCTCTGACTGCTATTTGTGGGATTTAATCTACATTCAGGACGTAGAGTTTGCAAACCCAAAGATTTGTGTTGACTTGTGATAAAGCCTATTGCAGTGGGGCTGTTTTGCAGATGCTGGACGGTGAAAACAGTAAAATCAAAGTAAACTATTCCTTAGTGAAACTGGATGTTGGGCTAGTTGGTGCATGTTAAAGAAAATTGGAAGACGCTAACCACCGAGCAAGAATAGGCGAAAGTAAAGAAGGCTCCTTTCATTCACAAATTATTCCCCGGTGGTCTGCGTCGTTTAATATTCTTGTAAAGTAAAATATTTTATAGCCATTGTATGGCACTGTTGTGCGTATAGCTTTGGTAGTGCCCACCATGAAAACAAAAAAATGCCGCTTTCGGGGTGCATCAAAACCTTGTCAGTAATGGTATAAACTGATTGCAAAATGGCCTCCCAGCAGGCACGCGAAAACCTTTTGAAGTTAGTTTGTGACAAGCCTACCTAATCTGCCTGGTGTGCAATGGAATTTTAATAAAACACTAATTGATATAAGAACTGTGAGGTTTTTGTACTGGAAAAAAATATCGCTCTTTTACTTTAGAACAAGGGCCATTTGGATATATTTTCAATGGATATTGTTTTAGTGCTCTCATGTTCGGCTTAAGAGGGGCTGCTTTCGTAACATGCAAGACAACGACATCTCGATGGCTTTTTCGCAAGGAAGCTATGTACTATTTTCCTGCATCAGAACTTAGCGATAGTTAAACTTCTACAATGACACTTTCGCTCGGTCGTTGCCACCTATATCTACATCTTATGAAATAATTAGGCACAAAATTGAGTATTGCTCCAGAAATTCTTGATAACTAACTATTGTTGCAGTGACGTTTCTGGTGCCCCTTCGGTAGTAACTTGATAACTGAAGGCCCAGCAGGTTTGACATGGTAGATATTGCTACACGGTTCGAAATGTCGCTATTAGTCGGACATCGTCTGCCTGATTGAATTTCAAGACGTCGACGTTCATTTGGCGTCCCTTTGTTCGTCCCTGTGTGAAAATCAGAGAAGTCATAAATATTTTATCTTGATGTGATGAAATTACACTTAATTATGTCTGCCGTAAACTTAGGGAGCATTCGCTTTGATCAAGGTTTCAAAGTCTATTACTATTTTTTGCTTTTTTTTTATAGGCAGCTGCCACGCTAATCGGCATCGAATGAAATGGCAGCGTCGCACCAGCCCTAGAAACTTGGAAAGTGAACGCCACTTTCTTTTTCGTTTCTAAGCGAATCTCTATTTAAGCATAAGCAGGCAAATGACATCGTCAGTAAAGTTCATTAAGATTAGTCTTGCCTGCCGAAACAAAAAGCCTATTCGCTGCACTTGACACCGCTATGCAATAAATTTCAAATATGTACAGTGCTGCTGCTTTGTTGCGACGCTGTAGTTGGGATTTAATTTCTTTCGGAAGAAAGTCAGCCCTAACGCGTGTCTACAGCTAAGGTTACTTTTAAAGTAGAATACCAGTTAAAAAAAACAATTCTCTCATTTTATAAATGTTTTGCGAAGATTTGTTACTTCTTCATCAAAAAGCTGTTTTCAGGAAATTCGCAAATATTAAATTGAATTCACGTGAGATCATGGCAGGACGACGCTAAAAGTTTATGTCGCAAAAAAAGTCATGTGACTTTGTACTTTATTTCTTTCGCAACCAAAAAACATTCCTAATTAGAAAACGTTCGTTCATAGTCAGTATTCTTTACATAAAAAACCGTCCTTCTTCAAAACAGCTGTACACTTGATCGATATGTGAGGTTTAACGTCCCAAAACCACCATATGATTATGAGAAACGTCGTAGTGGAAGGTTCCGGAAATGCCAACCACCTTAGGTTCTCTAACGCGCACGCAAATCTGAGCACACGGGCCTACAGCAATTTCGCCTCCATTGAAAATGCAGCCGCCGCAGCCGGGATTTGATCCCACGACTTGCGGGCCAACAGCCGAGTACCTTAGCCACCAGACCACCGCGGCGGGGCAAACAACTGTACAGTGTTATGGGCACACTAACTAATATATTTCCGAACCTAATCAGGACTATTTCATGAAAGGTTATCGGCAAAGTGTAGTCGGTTCAAGCATATTTGAGGACGCCTCGAAATTATAGCACATGTGACTCAACAATATTGAATTAAGCCTCAGTGCGTGCCTAAACATATGCATATATCGAACTCTCGTCGCTTATATCAATGTGATCTGCATCATTATTCACAAAAAGACCAGAATAATTGCACTAGCTTAAAGCTTATCTGCAGCCAGGTGACACTACCAGTCTATTGTGCTTTGTCAGGCCCTTTCTGCGAGTTTCTATTTAAGTGGCCTGTACCTAGTAAACAGACGCTGTTTTTTTTATAAGATGAGCAGCGCAACTGATCGTTCTACTGGTAGTCTTTATTTTTTCCAAGTGATCATTGTAGAGAATAATAAATATTCAAAACAATTTATGTCGCTCAATGACAGCTATTACGAGATTTGTATGAGGCCGTAATGATTATGTACTGCAAGAAAATTAGGCGTGTAGGTAATAAAATAGACGAGAAAAAATAAATTTTGTAAAAAGTAGTACTATTAATAGCTCTATTTGGTTATTGCTTCTTGTCGTCTTGAAAAACGTGAAACAAATGTAATAAGGCGAATTGTGTTTCCTTTTTATGTCAAGGTGTAAACCATTCGAGTAATTAAGGACAGCTGGGTAAAACCGGTTGATTGCAAAAACTCTGCAGACACTGACGAAATAATCCTTCACTGTAGATAAGAGGTACACATTCATACGAATTAAGTTAAAAAAGAACGAGTGAGGAACTACGCACATTGTATTCATATTAGTTCGCAAAGTTATGAGCAATGCACGTGTACGCAACTTATGAGCGGTACAATAAACAGCTTCCTTTTTACTTGCTAGTTTTGTGTATCTGTCAAATACTTTTGGCTTTCTTCGGAAGCCTTCCTGGTTATTGAATTTGTTCGTTTGCTCGTTTGCTTTAAATTCTCAGTGCTTATTGAATTCGCTCCATAATTAAAACAAGGTTCCTTTGTAGCAATGGCATAAGGGTCAAATGGCCCGCTATTGCGTTGTTAACCTTGTTTATTTGCCAAAAAAATGGAGCAATTATACCAAAAGCAGAAGACAACAACAAGCTGTGCAAAGTCTACTTAAACAAGCATTCCAACAACCAGTCACTAATTTCGCTAGCAGACTGATGAATAAACAAACGTACGAAACTAGTACGAAACGGTGCTCATAACCTGAGGTACCCGAAAACGTTTGTCATGTTTACACAAAGATGCGTCGTGGGTTAGTTTGGACACACCGTTTCTAAGCATACGTTTGGTTTGCAATGCTGAATCAAGCCACCATTTTATGTAGATGAGATGCCCGAAGCGATCTAATGCATGTAAGCACTCTGCAGAGTGTTCCCGAGATGACAGAAAATGTAAATGTTTGGTTAAGATAGGGGAAATTGTTCGGCTGCATGATTGTTTACATGCATGCTTCTTTGTTTATTCATTCATTCATTCGTTTGCTTGCTTGTTTTTCTTTGTTTTTTTGCATTCCTAGAAGTAATTTTTCATAAACTAAAATATGAGGGAGTCGACGTGGTCACTATTTCTCATTCAGTAATGCGTTCGCGTCCTCTTTTTCGTCTACTCGCAGAGTACCCAGAGAGGAGTGCACTGGTCGGTGGCTCGGCCTCGCTACCATGTAACATCACGCCGCCGACGCTGGACGATGCCGTGGCGCTGGTTCTCTGGTACCGAGGGGACTCGGGGACTCCCATCTTCAGTCTGGACGCGCGCAATTCGCCACCCGACGCCGAGCGGACGTTCGTGGACGACTCGCTCGGCTCGCGCGCCTACTTCAATCGGACGGGCTCTATGGCCACGCTGCAGCTGCAGCCCGTGCGGGACGTCGACGACGGCGAGTACCGCTGCCGAGTCGACTACAAGAGGTCCCGCACCCAGAATAGGATTGTGCGCCTCAACGTCATTGGTGAGCACGCCACCTGTAGCATCATCTGTGCCATTACGAACAATTCATAAGCATTTTCCTCCCGTCTAACCCTTCTATCGTACTTCATTAGCGCAATATCCAAGTGTAGGGCAGCCAAACTGACATGTGGTTGATGATCGCTCCGGCCCTTTCCCTAAATTTTTCCTTCCTCCCTTTAGCCGAACTCGGCAGGTCAAGCAGGACAGGGAATGATCAACTGTTAACACAATAGCGATGGTGATCTACAGGACATGCAAAGCAACGTCACTTAAATGGCGTGTCGTGCCTGCAGCGTGATCGCCATGACAAAAAAAAAATGAAAATAATTTCGAAAATTCATAAAACGTTTATTAAATGTCACAGAAGGAAGAAACAAAAGGCAGAAGGCAGCGAGGTTAACCAGAAAAACATCCGGTTGACTACCTTACACTAGAGGATTAGGGAAGAGGAGAAGAAAGCTGAGAAAGAGGGAAACGAAGGAAAAGAAAAAAAAGAGACTGACAGTAATTTCACTGCGGCGTGTAGAAGTTCACCGCCAGTCAGAGGCGTTCACACAAATCCGTCTTTCTTAAGAAACACAGCAGGGCTATCACTGCCTTGTAGGCTGTCGAGGGATGTGGACGCGGCTGTAATAGCACCTGCACAGAAAGAGGCCGATCATCCAGTTTCCGCATTGCGTTGGCAAGTATTTTTCTGTCTGAGGCAAATCGAGGACAGTGGCGCAGCAGGTGTTAGATATTTTCATCGGTGCCTCAAACATCGTATGCTGCACTGTCAGTCATTCTGATTAACGTAGTATAAGCTTTCGTAAAAGCAACTCCCAGCCAAAGGCGGTAGAGAAGCGAAGCTTCACGTCGATGTAGGCCTGGTGGAGGCCGGAGTTGTAGTGAAGGGCCACGTTCGTGTAGTATTGTACGTCGTATGGCTGGGGTGTTCCACTCAGTCAGTGTGAGACTTCGGGCAAGTTGACGAATCTGCCTCACCGCGTCCGCTCTTGAAAGCGGAATCGGAACACTGTTTGGTTGAGTACAGTGTGCTTGTTTCGCACCTGTGGGCAATCTTTAGATGAGGCTTCATGAGCGCCGTGGCAGTTTGGACATCGTAACACGGTGGAACAGCAAGCGTCTTTTGAACGAGATTCGGTGCAACGCGGGCACACAACATTGTTCTCACAGGCATTTTTTTACGTGTCCTATCTTGAAACACTTGTAGCATTGCAGTGGCATTGCAGTGGCGAACATAGCCAACTTTGACGTACGAGGGTAGGCTGTCTCCCTCGAACATAAGCCTCAAGCAGCGTAAGTTGCCAAGTCTGGTGATGTCTGGTGATGTGCGTGATGCGAGTGCCATCTGAAGCTGGTTTTATTATTACTGGCAGGTCATTAGCTGGGATGTAAAGATCCACATCACATATCACGCCTACTGTGACATTACAACCTGTAGCGACCATTGGCTGAACTCTCACGTTGCCGATTGCTGTTATGTGCCGAAGGCTTTGCAGCGCGCTATGGCAAGGATATAAAAGTAACTACACTTCCAAAGCAATACACCTTATGTGCCATTGATGTGATTTAATGATTATTGACTATCCGCGTTTTTGTTGCGTTGCACTAAAATTAAAACCTTTTCAATGATGTCGTCGACTTACGGAAACATAGACTGTATGGCTGACGCAAACAAAGATAATAGCTGCCTCTAAGTGTGGACGCATGTCCCCACTGCAATATACAATAGGGTAACCACTAAAACATGTGAAACACCATCAAGTCATTTTCTCGATAAATGGATAATTGACGACTATGTGATTCTAGACGAATGCACAAGGAAATCAGTACGTATTTCTGAGAAAAAAGAACAACGCATTTTCTGGGAGCTTTATAACCCTTTCGCCACCTTGCGAGTTTCCGCAAGACTTGCTGTCGAAGCCTTTTCTTGCTCTTAAATCATCTAGGTCATGAAGCAAACCTTGTTGGTAATGAAGTTAACTTCACTCAACTAAATCTGGAAAGTGAGTGGTACCACGTGTAAACAATGCAGTTTTCTTCGCTTACGTACGCTACCATTCGTTGTTAATCAGTGAGACGTATGCACACAACAAGCATTCTGTGACTGATTTTGCTATTTTTCTCGCTCTTTTTTCAGTGCCTCCAACGGAAGTCCTGATAACAAACAGAACGGGAGAGCCATTACGAAACCGTCCAATTATCGGGCCGTTCAATGAAGGTTCCTCTCTCACGCTTGTCTGCAAAGCACTTGGAGGTTGGTGACAACTCGTTCATCTTCTGATAACCCGAATTGTAGTGCATGCTTGGCATTAGTGTATGCATAGTCATTCTTTATACTAGCAAACAATGAAACGATGCGAAAATCATTACGGTATCAAACGTGAATGTATACGCACAGTTTAAAAACAAAACACACAGAGCACAGAACTAAAAAATGAATCACTTTCCTTGTTAGTTCCCAGCTCTCACGTCGCCGGGAATGCCTCGAAAACTCGAATTAATAGCTTTATTTTATCGCGCTTCGTACGATGCATCGGTATTAGCTTCATTTTGTTCACAAATTACCCTAAAGTAACACGAGAGTTTTACGAAACATGATTACTAGTACTGCCAACAAAAGCTGCATGTCTCTTCATTGCCAGCCCAACAGCTAATAAACAGTCAAGTAATGAGTGTTCGAAATGAAAGCCCAGAATTTGGAACGAATATTAAACTTCCAGGTTTCAGTTAATATGCCAGTTTTAAGAGACAGCGTAAAATATATGTCCAATGTATATAAGGCAGGTTTAAAGTGAGAATAGTTGATTGATGTGTAGGCCACACACTTTTAAGAAAGTTGTAGGATGTTTTGTAACCCGTAACTATTATACAGCTTCGCGTCAAATAGTACCTAGAACAGTGAGTTCCCATTGCGAATATTTTGACAGGTAATTTTTATAGAACTGCTGTATCGCTTCCTAGTGTTGAGTTCTGGCTTTTAGAAAGCAAAATTTGAGTCTTTTTGTTTTATTTTTGAAAAACATGTTTCTTTTTAGGCGCTATATGAAATTATCCTCACAGCCATGTCGGCGTTTTGTCCTCCAGTTTCAAGAGCAAGAGGTTTTATACAAAATGATCTAAGATTTCTTTTATAGGAGCGCTTTGTTTTGTGTACTAAGAAAATCTCATCTTGAGCATCTGCGTCCCAGAAGTTTTTGTAAAGCGCGCGCCACCTTCATAAGACTTCTACTGCGGCAAAGCTAAAGCGCCAAGCCTGTACACTACAGAATGGAATTTTAGGTGAACATAGTGCACCGCTCCATTTCTCAAGTTTTGTTATCGCCCCAATACCATACACAATTCTCAGCGCAAATCGCGCCTGCAGTTTTCGAGAAGCTTCAGGACTGTAGTAGATCATTTCGATAAGATCACGCCCACTTCGCGAACTGTACAGATTATTCTAGAACATACGTTACCGCCAGCGATAACGCTAGAACATTCGATAGCAAGGGTATGAATGCCGACGCACTTTGCCGCTTGTCAGTTATTGATCAACGGCCGACGCTCCGTTCACCGCTATCAGTCCAAGACTGCTACTGCAGTCCGACTTTCCGTTTACTGGGCACAGGTTTGCCCAAATAAACAATTTGTTATTCGGCTCGCAGTGTGCTCCATTCGTCCTCGTCACGACCTGTGACATCTGGTGGAGGTGCTGGGTACATGGCTTGACGGAGGCGTCCGGTACCTGGAATCACAAAAAAGGACGTGTATCCTCTCCCACGAATAGACGATGCTCTCGATCGGCTCCATAACGCCAAGTACTTTTCCTCAATGAACCTCAAGACTGGCTATTGGCAAATCGAAGTCGACGAAAGAGACCGAGAGAAGACGACGTTTATAACACCGGACGGCCTCTTCGAGTTTAAGGTGATGCGCTTCTTTGCTCAGCGCCTGCAACTTTTCAACGCGTTATGGATACAGTACTGGCAGGATTGAAGTGGCAGACTTCCCTTGTTTACTTGGACGACGTCGTCGTGTTTTCCTCGAGTTTCGACGAGCATCTTCGGCGCCTTGAAGCTGTTCTTCAAGCCATCGGGATGTCCGGACTCACACTGAAGCCAGAAAAGTGCATATTTGCGTACGAGGAGCTCTTGTTTCTGGGGCACGTTATTAGCAAGTCTGGAGTTCGTCCAGATCCACGGAAAACAGCCACCATTGCCAAATTCTCGCCGCCTATTGACAAAAAGGCGGTGCGCCGATTTCTGGGCCTGTGCGCCTATTATTGGTGGTTCGTAAAAAACATCGCTCGCATCGCCGATTCCCTCACTAAGCTTATCAAAGCCGACGTGGAGTTCAAGTGGAAAACGCCGCAGGAACACGATTTCCAGGAGCTTAAACATCGCCTCCAGAGGCCTCTGTTGTTTGCCCATTTCGACGAATTTTCCCAGACAGAAATACGCACTGACGCAAGCAGCGTAGGTCTTGGCGCCGTTCTTGTGCAGAGGGCTGACGGACTTGAATGGCTTATTAGTTACGCTAGCCGATCGCTATCCAAAGCAGAAGCCAATTATTCCACAACAGAAAAGGAGTGCCTCGCCATCATCTGGGCTACGTTGAAATTTCGCCCCTACCTCTACGGCAGGCCGTTCGAAGTTGTGAGCGATCACCATGCCTTGTGTTGGCTTGAAGGACCCTTCAGGTCGCCTCGCATGATTGAGCCTGAGACTTCAAAAATATGACATTACCATCGTTTACAAGTCCGGCAAGAAACACTCCGACGATGACTGTCTCTCTCGTGCGCCTGTCGAACAACCACCACCCGACGACGACACGTATAACATACTTCTTGAGAACGATAACTACCGACGACTTCGCTGAACGACAGCGGGCCGACCCAGAACTTAAGGCCCTAATAGAATGCCCCGAAGGCAGGACCGCAGAAGTCCCGAAGGTATTCAAGCACGCACTGGCGTCGTTATTCCTGCGAAACAGTTTTCTCCAAAAGAAAAACTTCTCACCACTCCGAGCCAAGCACCTCCTTGTGGTGCCTTCAGCTTTGCGGCCAGAACTCCTGCAGACCCTGCACGACGATCCGACGGCAGTGCACCTCGGTGTTTCCCGCACGCTCGCGAGGATACGAGAAAGGTACTACTGGCCCCGTCTTACCACCGACGTCACTCGTTATGTGATGACATGCTGGGACCGTCAGTGACGCAAGACACCACCAACAAGGCCAGCGGGATTTCTGCAGCCAATTGAACCCTCTCGCCGACCATTCCAGCAGATTGGTATGGACCAACTGTGGCCCTTCCCGACGTCGGCTTTCGGAAACAAGTGGATCGTGGTAGCTACCGACTACCTCACCCGCTACGCCAAGACAAAAGCTCTGACCAAAGGCAGTGCATCCCAGGTAGCTAAGTTCTTCGTCGAAAATATCTCCTACGTCACGGTGCCCCGGAGGTTCTCATTACCGACAGAGGAACGGCATTTACTGCTGACCTAACTCAAGCAATCTTGGCATACAGCCAGACAAACCACCACCGGACGACAGCGTACCACCCCCAGACCAACGGCCTCACCGATCGGCTAAACAAGACGATCGCCGACATGCTGGCAATATACGTCGATGTCGAACACAAGACGTGGGACGCCATTCTTCCGTATGTGACCTTCGCATACAACACGGCGGTGCAGGAGACAACGCAGATATCTCCATACAAATTGGTCTACGGAAGGATCTCGGCAACGACGCTCGATGCCATGTTACCCAACGTCACCGTCGAAGAAAATTTCGATGTGAGTGAGTACCTTCAACGCGCCGAAGAAGCCCGACAACTTGCGCGTCTCCGTATCAAGAATCAACAGACGACCGACAGCCACCGTTACAACCTTCGACGACGCTTCGTGAAATACCAGCCCGGTGAACGTGTTTAGGTGTGGACGCCAATACGCCGACGTGGACTCAGTGAAAAGCCTTCTGCGACAGTACTTCGGACCATACAGGGTGGTTCGACGTCTCGGCCCACTTGATTACGAGGTTGTCCTCGACGGCATCACGAACTCTCAACGACGCCGTTCACGACCTGAAATCGTCCATGTCACGCGCCTCAAGCCGTTTCATGCGCGTTAACAAACAGAAACAGTGTTTTTTGTATTATTGCTGCAGCGTAATTTATTCATTGTACTTTCTTGCATTATTGTTTTACCTTCATCTTTAGTTAAAGCATCAGGACGATGGCTTTTTCAGAGGGGGGCAATGCCACGTTCCATTTCTCAAGTTTTGTTATCGCCCAAATACATTACACAATTCTCAGCGCAAACCGCGCCAGCAGTTTTCGAGAAGCTTCAGGACTGTAGTAGATCATTTCGATAAGATCACGCCCATTCTGCGAACTGTACAGATTATTCTAGAATCTGCGTCACCGCCAGCGATAACGCTAGAACATTCGATGGCAAGAGTATAAATGCCGACGCACTTCGCCGCTTGTCAGTTGTTGATCAACGGCCGACGCTCCGTTCGCCGCTTTCCATCCAAGACTGCTATTGTAGTCCAACTTTCCGTTTACTGGGCACAAGTTCGCCCAAATAAACAATTTATTATTCGACTCGCAGTGTGCTCCATTCGTCCCCGTCATGACTCCGTGGCAATATATATATCGTCCCCGAAGTTTTTGCGTCCCAGAAATTAAGGTTCCATAGAGTGTGCACCACCTTCATAAGAGGGCTATTGCGGCAAAGCCAAACCACCCCGCCTGTACACTACAGAAATCAATTTCAAGTGAATGTATATATACCGTCCCAGAAGGTTCTGCATCCAAGAATTTTATTAAAGTGTGCACCACCTTCATACAAGTTCTAATTCAGCAAAGCCGAAGCGCCAAGCCTTTACATCAAAAAGTGCAATTTTAAATATATATATATATATATATATATATATATATATATATATATATATATATATATATATATATATATATATATATATTGTTCCAGAAGCCAGAAGTTTCTGTAAAGCGTTCACCACCTTTAGAGAAGTGGTACTGTGGCAAAGCCAAAGCCCCCATGCCTGTACACTACCGAATGCAGTTTTAAGTAATTATATATATATATATATATATATATATATATATATATATATATATATATATATATATATATATAAATAATCTTAAGAGCTTCAAAATCCCAGAAACCAGAAGTTTTCGTAAAGTGTCCACCACCTTCATAGGAGGGCTACTGCGGCAAAGCCACAGCACCTGCTTTGAGTGAGGTGCG